GCATTGGTTATTTCCTCCTCATATTTTTATGCAAGGAAGAGGCTGATAGGGATCAGAGAACCATTTCACCCCCCACGTGCCCAAGTTCCCTTATCAGGGGAATCTGAAAGTGAGGGGCAAGCAGCCTAGAGGGGGTGGAGGGTGGTGGTGGCGGCTTGGAACTGGGGAACAGTCACCAACTTCTCTTTCCCTTCTTCCCCACCCCTAAACCACAGAAACCACTTAAAGCTCAGGGCAGGCCTGCCCTCCTGGGGGGGCCTGGGGTGGAAAGGTGGAAAGTACGGGGGACCTGGGCAGCCTGCATGCCACATACTACCTCAGCTCCATCATTCGAGGCCCACCCCCTCTGGGAAGCCCGACCCCGTGATTAGGAACACTTTCCTTTAGGTCCTCCCTAAGAGATCGATGCCTGGGGAGACCTCAACCCACTGGAGTGACTCGGGAAGGGGACTCAGGCCCCTCAACCATGAAAGAAAAGACATCCCACTTCTATAAACACTTCACAGTCACCAGCTGTCCCTTTCCTGTCACAAAGGCCGCTGTGGGTGGAGGGACAGTAGAAATTTGACCCTAGTTCCTGGCCCTGAACATTCCACGTGCCCCTGCCTGTCAGTTAACATATGTGGTCATTTAGGCTTGGATGCAGCAAGGAGGATTGAAAAGCAGGAGCTCTGATTTTTGAAGCCAAAAGACAGATAAGAATGTAGCCTACTATTATCAGGCCTCAATTACCACATCATTAAAAGGGGGACAATAGGTTCAGAATGGGGGACACAGGGACACCCATGGCTGATTCATGTCAATGTATGGCAAAAACCACTACAATATTATAAAGTAATTAGCCTCCAATTAAAATACATTAATTAATTGAAAAAAAATAAAAGGGGGACAGTAATATCAGTCCAGACTTATGTCTGAACATACTTTGAGGCCAGAGCAGCCTGCACACTGGAGGGGTTCTTCCGACCTTATTGGCCCCAGGGCACGCTTTTGTGGCTTTAGCTGGCCAGGAGGCTCCTCCTGAGACATTGTGGCCCCCGTGGTGTGGGGAGGGGAAGGTCACAGCTGTGGACACTGAGTGAACTGCTCCTGACCGGAATGGACTTGAATTCTCACCTCTCAGCCACCTCTGAGCAGCAGTGGGAGGTTTGGAGGAAGCCACAGTCCTGAAATTTCCCTGCAGCCAGGGCTGATCCTCAGGCAAGTTTACTTAACCCCTCTGATCTATCGGCTCGGTCAAATGGTAACAGAACCCACCTTGCTGAGTGGTTGCAATGATTAACTGGCATAATGAGTAAAATACAGGACCTACGGGTACAAAGTACTGTGGTTAAAAAGAAATGTTTCAGTCTCTCTCTCTCTCTTTCCATTCCTCCCTTCTTCTCTCTGTCTGACTTTCTTCCTTTGCCCCCTTTCCTGCTTCAATTTTCTCTAAAACAGATCACCAAGTAACATTTTTACATTTTACTTATTCATTTTGTAACTTGTCTGATTCCCATTTCTGTTTTTTTTCACTGTTTATTTATTAATTGGAGTGTAATTGCTTTCAATATTGTGTTGGTTTCTGCCATCCATCAGCACGAATCAGCCACAGGTATACATATGTCGCCTCCCTCTTGGACCTCCCTCCCACCCCTCTAGGTTGTCACAGAGCACCAGGTTGAGCTCTCTGTGTCACTACCCATTAGCTAGCTCTTTTACATACGGTAATATATATGTTTCAATGCTACCCTCTCAATTCATCCCACCCTCTCCTTTCCTTCCCTGTGTCCACAAGCTTGTCCTTTATGTCTGTGTCTCTGTTGTGCTTGCATGCTAAGTCGCTTCAATTGCGTTAGACTCTTTGAGACGCTATGGACTGTAGCCCCCAAGACTTCTTTGTTAGGTATTCTCTAGGGTTCTTTACCACTAGCTCCACCTGGGAAGCCCTGAGTCTCTATTGCTGCCCTGCAAATAAGTCCATCGCTCCCATTTTTCTAGATTCCATATATAAGTGTTAATATCAATATTTATCTTTCTCTTTTTGACTTGCTTCATTCTGTGTAACAGGCTCCCGTTTCTGTTTTGATCACTGCCGTATCCAAAGTCCAGCACCTGCCGTGTGTGTGTGCTCAGTTGCTCAGCTGTATCCCACTCTGTGCGACGCCATGGACTGTAGCCCCCCAGGCTCCTCTGTCCATGGAATTCTCCAGGCAAGAATACTGGAGTGGGTTGCCATGCCCTTCTCCAGGGGAATCAAACCAGGTCTCCTGTGTTGCAGTCAGATTCTTTACTGACTGAGCCACCGGCGAAGCCCCTGCTGGCCCTCCCTAAGTATTTGTTGAAGGACTGCAGGAATGAAGGATGAGTGGCCTCTTCTTTTTTTTCCTCCTTTGAAATAGGCATCAAATACAGCTATTCACCAGATATTGTTAGGGGAGGATTTGGGTTGAAGTAGGACAGTACTAGGGATAGAACTGGACCTATGGGTGGACTTCACATGGTGAAAAGATTGGAGAGCTATCATCCTAGGGAAGGAAGTGACCTGATTGGGAGGTGGCAGCTGGCACGTAAGATATTATGTTGTTGTTGTTCAGTTACTAAGTTGTGTCTGACTCTTTGTGACCCCATGGACTGCAGCACTCCAGGCTTCCCTGTCCATTACCAAGTCCTGGAGCTTGCTCAAACTCATGTTCATTGAGTCGTTGATGCCATCCAACTATCTCATCCTCTGTCATCCCCTTCTCCTGCCTTCAATCTTTCCCAGCATCAGGGTGTTTTCTAATGAGTCAGCCCTTCATGTCAGGTGGCCAAAGTGTTGAAACTTCAGCATCAGTCGTTCCAATGAATATTCAGGACTGATTTCCTTTAGGATTAACTGGTTTGATCTCCTTGCACCAAGGGACTCTCAAGAGTCTTCTCCAACACCACAGTTCAAAAGCATCAGTTCTTCAGTGCTCAGCCTTCTTTATGGTCCAACTCTCACATCCATATGTGGCTGCTGCAAAGTCCAGAGTTTAGTTTGGACTAGACCTTTGTTGGCAAAGTAGTGTCTCTGCTCTTTAATATGCAGTCTATGTTTGTCATGACTTTTCTTCCAAGGAGCAAGTATCTTTTAATTTCATGACTGCAGTCATCATCTACAGTGATTTTGGAGCCCAAGNTCATTGGAAAAGACCCTGATGCTGGGAAAGATTGAAGGCAGGAGGAGAAGGGGATGACAGAGGATGAGATGGTTGGATGGCATCACCAGCTCAATGGACATGAGTTTGAGCAGGCTCCGGGAGTTGGGGATGGACAGGGAAACCTGGCGTGCTGCAGTCCTTGGGGTCGACGAGTTGGACTTGACTGAATGACAGAACTCAATTGGCCAGATGCCATGATCTTCTTCTTTTGAATGTTGAGTTCTAAGCCAGCTTTATCACTCTCCTCTTTCACTTGCACCAAGAGGCTATTTCCTCTTTGTTTTCTGCCATAAGATGGTGTCATCAGCAATGAATATTAAGGGTTGATTACCTGTAGGATTGACTGGTTTGATCTTGCTGTCCAAGGGACTCTCAAAAGAGTCTTCTCCAGTGCACCACTATAGTGAAGTGACTGAGAGCTCAGACTCTAAGGCCAGACTGTGGTTTAAATCCTAATTCTTTCCCTCACTGGATTAGTAAAACTTGAGGTCACACTGGGTAACAGTATTAACGATAGTACTTAACTCTCATGGGAGTTGCTGACAAGTTGTTGGATAAGATTCCTTGCATGCTGCTGCTGCTAAGTCGCTTCAGTCGTGTCCGACTCTGTGCAACCCCATAGGTGGCAGCCCACCAGGCTCCTCTGTCCATAGGATTCTCCAGGCAAGAATACTGGAGTGGGTTGCCATTTCATGGCGATCATATTTTTTGGTAGCTGTTAGCACTTAATATTAGTTGATCAATGCTACCACCTGGTGGACATCTGGAGCAAGACTTTCCCTGGCCTGGTGGGTTGGGGAGGGACCTAATCAGGGGGGGAGAAGGAATGGAGGAGCCTGGTGTGTGTGTGTGTGTGTGTCTGTGTGTGTGTGTGTGTAATGCTAGCATTGTATATGCTGAGGTTTATCTAGGTAATGAAGGCTTGGCCCTGGTTAGGGGCACTTGGCAAAATGAGAAATGGCCCAAGGGGGTGGGAAAAAGAAGCTGGTTTGGCACTGTGTCTCCCTTCCTCCCTCCCTCCCTCCCTTTCCTCCTCCCTTTTTTCCTCTTCCAAGCCTGGCCTGAGCCAAGAGGAACAAGCTTCAGAGAAGGAGGGGTGAGAGAGAAGGTCACTGCTGACGTCAGGGACATTCAGGTAGGAGGTAAATACAATGTGACCTACATGCATCCATCTTCCACATTCTGCCCCTACTCACCTGGGTAGCCTTTTCTGGGCATCCATGAGAATAGCTCTCACAGTCCAGTGGGACCCCCTCTGCCCCCAGGACCTCCATCCCTGTGACTCCCCAGGGAGGCCCAAGTGTGGAAGGAACAGGCAGGAGAGAGGATCCCTAAAGGCATAGTGTGCTAGTTTGACACCCTCTGACTCACTCCCAAGACCCAGAAATTTCATCTCTCTCTTTAGATCAGATGTGGGTGTGAGTGGGGTGCTAGATGGGTGGGGAGTGTCGATTTCCCCTGTGCGGCCCCCAGGAACCCCCAGGGGAAGGTGAGTTATGCCGGCTTCAGTCACAGAGCTTTTCAGTGATTGGAGGGCCCCCTGAAGGGGTAGGGGCCTTGTTGACCAGGAAACCTCTGACCCACTCAGCTCAGACCTAGTGAACTAGTGTCAGAGTCTCTCAGGAACAGAGCTCATGATTCTTTCCCTGTGTTTAACAAGCTCATCCAGGATTTCTGATGTCTGGTAACTGTGATACTCACATTCAAGTTTGAGAACCACTTCTTAAGGTCTGCTCCAAATCAGAAAACCTGAATGAGCTTCCTCCATCCCTTGTAGGGCCAGGGCAGAGGGATGAGTGCAGTCTGCAGATCTGAGAGCGCAGTGTGCAAACAAGGGGAGACATATTTTATTTGCAAAAATAAATACATGCTGGGCAGATGGTAAGAATGAAGACTGCAGACCCGATGGAGCCCTCCTGAGGAAGAGACAGTCTCTCAGGCTACAGGCTGAGATGGGCAGGCACCAGGGAGGCCCCGGGACCTAGCCCACCACCCATGGGCGGCAGCAGGGCAATCAGGGGCGTCTCACACTCCCCCAGCAGCACGTCCCTGCGGAATCCTGTGCCCCTGTCCAGCACCTTGGCCCTCAGACTGTGTGCGGCCAGGTCCGGCGGTCCGAGCCCATCGAAGAAAAAGTCCTCGTTGAAGATGGGGTTGGTGCTGCATTTGACCACTCGGCTCCGCTGGCCCCGCGGCCGGACGCGCGGCCGCAGCCCCAGCACCACGCAGCAGCCGCCGCCGCCGCTCCCGGGGCCGGCCCGAGACCGCGGCAGGCCTTCGACGCTCACCAGGCGCAGCCGCAGCCGCCCGGGCCCGGCCGGGTACTCGGCGGAGAGCCGCAGCTGTCCTCCCCGGGGCTCGAGGTGCAGCACGCTCTCCTGGGTAGGCCGCAGTTGGCAGCACAAGAAGTCGAGGTGGAAGAGGGGCGGCGTGGGCGGTCCCGCGCGGCGCGAGGCGTACGGGCTGGTGTCGGCCGANAGGGGATCCAAGTCCAGCGTGGAGGCCTGGGCAAGGAAAGAAGGGGAGCCCAAGGTGAATGGTGCTGCAAACGTACACCACACCGGGGTGATCTGCCGCCGCTCCCTTCTTTGGGGGCCCAACCGGCGCCCTAGACCTTTTTTGAGCGGCAAAAACAAAGGGCGGCAAAGTCTGGGGGTCCGGAGAGAAATAGAGGGAGCCCAGGGCTAGACAGTCAGGCCTCGGACATACAGACTCTCCCACTGCTTTCACTGGTACTAAAGATGTACACCGACTTCTGAGTGAGAAGGCTTCACACACCCACTGGAACCCTAGACTCCTATTAGAAGAATCGAGTAACACCACGTTATCAACAGGTCTGTAGTCACAAACTGACCCAGAGCCTAATTATCAAAAGTTCTGAAATCACGAACACTGACCCAGAGCTGGAACTCCCTCATATTCACTCTCCTCCTCAAGAGACACCGCGGCCCTAGGGAGGGGGGCGGGGGGTCACCCCCTTCTCCCATGCCCATTCCGGGACACTGGGGCTCTCCTCCAGGGTCTGATCTGGCGCCGCTTAGGACTCCCCCCACCCCCTCCTCCTCTCCACCCCTTGGCTCCCGTCCCCTGCGGCTGCGCAAGTTTCTCCAGGCTGAGCCATCCTTCGTCCCCGCCCCACTTGTATCTTCTTGCTCCTCCCTCGCCTTCCGGGGTCGTTCCAGGCCAGAAACAAACTGCCAGCACATTTGACTGCTGCCCTGAGAGCACCCACGGCCTGCTCAAGAAGAGCACCCCTCGGGGGCACAGAATGCCACCCCCACTTAAGCCCTGACTGTCCGGCTCCCTACCTCCCAGCCCTACCGCATCCCGAGTCTGCAGCGGACTGAGTAGTTGGGCCGCCCCTCCCACTCTCCCCTCCTTTTCTCCCTAGGAAACCGCTGAGCACAAAGACAGCATTGATTCTCAGTCACCCTCTGACCTGATTCCGGGAGGCCCTCCGCAGCGCGCTTACCGCACCCGCTTGCCGCACTCCCAGGGAGCGCGATGTTCCGACTTTCTCTCTGGGAGTCTGAGCTCCAAGGCAATGGCCTCGGCCTGGCGCCCAGAGTTCAGGCCTCACCTGTGGGCCGCCTCTGGGTCTTGGCCTCGGGCCAGGAGCTCTTCGGAGCCCTGAGGGGAACAACTTCCTCTCCAGCCTGCTCCCCCAGCCCAGTCCTGGGAGGAGCTGGCAGGGGCCTCCGTTGTCTACGTAAGACCTCTTTTCCTGGATAAACACAGTTCTGTCTTTGCGTCCATCAGCCCGGCCTTCTTAACTCCTTCTTTCAGGTTTCTACCAGCAAGCCAGCGCTGTGCCCTGGGGCCTTCTCTGCTGGGAGTTGGGGAGGGCTGCTGCGAAAAGGGAGACAGCCATTCGTTCGCAGTGGCCTCCCTCCCTTAGTGCTACCCGGGCCCCACCCAACCCTCCTAGGTGAAACCCACAGCCCTGACCACACAAACGGTAACTTCTGCAAAGCCCTCCCTGCTGGAATCCTGCCTTGCCCCCCACTGTTTAATTCTGGAGACATCCCAGTGACTGCAGTGACTAGTTCTTTGAGTTACACTGGACCAGGGAAAAGTGATCAAGCTGGAAATATCTGGACATAGAGACACTGAGGACAGAGCTGTTTCCATCAGTGAGTAGAGGTCAGTTTTGTCAGATGTGTGTTAAACTGTAAACATAGTGTCTCCCCCTTCCTTCCTGTCCTTGAAGGCAGATTCTAGGAAACACAGGCCACCGCTGGCAAGATGAGACCATCAGCTGTACTTCAGGAACACTCACCATCCTTCATTCCCTCCTTAGGACAGTCTTCTTCGAGGACCACTTCCCCTTCACCCTTCAGATCTGGAGGTCCTCACTGACATTCTCCCACTGAAATTAGGACATTCTGTTGTCTGTTTTCATAGTACCCTGTACTTCTCCTTTATGGCCCTGTTCACAGTTTCTTTTTTTGTGTGTGTGACTTATTTCTGTGACTATTTAATATCCTCTTCCCTTAGTAGACTATAAGCATCACAAAGACAGTGCTTAGAACAAGTCAGATGTTCAATCAGGGCTGTGAATGAATGAATGATATTAAGCAGGTGGCTTAGCCAGTAAAGAATCTGCCTGCAATGCAGGAGACCCGGGTTCCATCCCTGGGTTGGGAAGATTCTTTGGAGAAGGGAAAGGCTACCCACCCCAGTATTCTTGCCTGGAGAATTCCATGGACAGAGGAGCCTGGTGGGCTACAGTCCATGGGGTCTCAAAGAGTCAGTCATGACTGAGTGACTAACATTTTCACTTCAAGCAGAACTGTATCTGAATTAGTTCATTTATCCCTTCATTGTGTTAAATGCTGGGATACAAAGAAGGGGGGAAGCAGACAGAGAATAATGATAGCAACAAGGCAAATTGTGAAATTCAGGAAATGAACAAGATTATTATTTTGGCCTCTGATACTTAAGAGTCTTCAGGGAGCAAATGTTTCCTTTATGGAGATGACTGGCAGCACCCAGACCCTCCAATCCAAAGGCTTCTGACTTAGCTCAGCCTTGGTGTCATTTCTGGGGACGGTGGTCTGTATGGAGTGCTGCAGCTAAGAACTCGCAGCTGTGGCATCAGTCAGGTTGAGATTTGAGCCCTGGGACTTACTAACAGTATGACCTCTGGCATGTAACTTGATCTCTCAGGAGTTCTCCTTTCTCATCTGAAAAACGGAGAGAAAATATCTAAACTTCAGAGTTAGCACGAAGATTAAGATCACACATAGGGGCTTTCCTGGTGGTACAGTGGTTAAGAATCCACTGGCCAATTCAGGGGACACGGGTTCCATCCCTGGTCCGGGAAGAGCTCACAGTCTGAGGGGTAGCTAAGCCCATGTGCCATAACTACTGAACCCTTGTGTTGCAACTACCGAAGCCCATGCACTTAGAGCCTGGGCTCTGCAACAGGAGAAGCCACTGCCGTGAGAAGCCCCTGCAGTGCAGTGAGCAGCCCTCGTTTGCTGCAACTAGAGAAAGCTCATGCATAGAAGACCCAGGGAACTAAACAGAAATTTAAAAAAAGTAAAAGAGTGAAAAAGGTCACACTTGGGTATCAGTTAGATTGACTTCTGCTACAAGTGCATGAAAACAGAAACCCCAATTCAATCTTACTTGGCAATAAGGACATTTTTGTCTTCTGTGCTAAGAAGTCCAGAGGAAGGGTAGGATTCAGGGAAGTTTTATTCTTTAGTTTCATTCATTCATCCATCCATAGTTATTGACTACCTACCACATGCCAGGTACTGTGTACTAGACTCTGAGGATATAGCAGTGAGAAAACAGAGAAATCTTCTGGCCAAATGGAACTTATACTTTAGTGGGAGAAGAAAGACCGTAGACAAAAATAAATAAGTTAAAAATATAGCTTGTCAGATGAAAATCAGTGTTGGGGAGAAAATTAAAGTAGGGGAGGATCATGGTGTCAGGAGAGCATACAATTTTAAATAGTAGCGTCGAGGATGGCCTCCTTGAGAATGTAACATTTCAGTAATGATGTGAAGGAAGGAGAAAGGAAAACATTCTAAGCAGAAGGAATTGAAATGCAAAGTCCCTGAAACAGAAGCATGCCTGGAGTGTTTAAGGAGGCAGAGTCCAGTGTAGCTGGAACAGAATGAATGATGGGAAGATGACCTCAGAGAGATAGTAAGGCCAGAATCTTGTGGGGCTTGAAGCCACTGTAACAATTTTAGCTTTTCCTTGTGGTTAGCTAAGGAGTGGTACAACTTGACTTATGCATTAAAAGGGTTGCTCTGGCAACTGTGTTGAGAATGGAATGAGAGCAATAAGGGTGTAAGTAGGGAAAACAGATAATATTGAAATAATCTTTGCACAAGATGATTGGGGTGTGGATCAGCATCATAGTAGTCAGTTGCTGGCTATATTCTGAAGATAGAATCAACAGGATTTCAAGATGGACCCATCCTTATCTAAAGAGGAAGAATTATCCAAGGTTTTTGGCTCTAACAGTTGGAAGAATGGAGTTGCCATTCGCTGAGGGGGAAAATATGAGGAGCTCAATTTTAGATCTGAAGCTGAAGCTCCAATACTGTGGCCATCTGATGTGAAGAGCTGATTTATTAGAAAAGACCCTGGTGCTGGGAAAGATTGAAGGCAGGAGAAGGGGATGATAGAGGACGAGATGGTTGGATGGCATCACTGACTCAATGGACATGAGCGTGAGCAAGCTCTGGTAGATGATGAAGGACTGGGAAACCTGGTGTGCTGCAGTTCATGGGGATGCAAAGAGTTGGACACGACTGAGCGACCAAGCAACAATTTTAGATCAGTTAACTTGAGATATCTGTTAGACATCTAAATGGAGATACTGACTAGAAGGATGGAATCGGGTGGGAGGTAGGAGGGAGGTTCAAGAAGGAGGGGACATATGTATAGCTATGGCTGATTTATGTTGATGTATGGCAGAAACCAATGCAATATGATAAAGCAATTATCCTCCAATTAAGAATAAATAATTTTAAAAATGGAGATGTAATAAATTTTTTAATAAATAATTTTAAAAATGAAGAGTAAGCAGGTAGATATATGAATCCAGAGCTCAAGGAGAGGCCCAGACTGGAAGTATAAATGTGGGTACAAAGAGAAATGTAAATGGAATTTAAAGTCAGAAGACTTGATGAACTGTAGGTAGAAAAGAAAAGCCATCCAACAACTGAGTCCCGGATGCCCCAGCAGAGTGGGAGAGGAGGAGGAAGCAGCTCTGCCAGATGCTGTGGCAAGGTCCGATAAAATAAGGACTGAGACTTCACCATTAGCTGTAGTATCTGCAGGGTCATTGGCGCCTTTGACAAGAGCAGTTTCTTGGATTGGTGAAGGCAAAATACTAATTGGAGTGGGCTCAAGAAAGAACAGGAGAAAGAGAGTGAAGACAACTCTCTGGAGGAGTTTGCTCAAAGGGAGAAAGAGGGGCAGTCACCAGAGAGGGAGTAGAATCAAGAGAAAATATTTTAGATGACAGAAATAATGTTTGCCAATGGGAAAAATCAAATAGAAAAGGAAATGATAATGCAGATGAGACAAAGGAAAATATTTGGAGCAATGTTGCCAAGTAGACTAGAAGAAATTGGTGTCACGCATAAGGAATAGAGCTAAGGGTGGTCCCTTGCCTGCATATGAGCAGTTTGCCCACAGTTACTGGAGAGGAACTGGAATAAACTGGTAGAGGCAGTAGGTGGAGAGATATGGTTGTGGAGGCTTGCTCTCTCTGAATACTTCTGATTTCTCAGTGTCACAGGAAACAAGGTCTTTAGGTGAGAGTGATGATGGGGGAGGAAGGTGGTGCTTGGGGTTTGGGTAGAGGGGACCAGAAATGAAACAGTCACCTAGGAAGTCAGGAGAGTGAATGATCTACAAAACTGCAGGGTGATTGCTGGACAGTATTATGGGCCTGCTTTATAGCCTTGTGGCTCAGATGATAAAGAATCTGCCTGCAACGCAGAGATCCAGGTTCTATTCCTGGGTCAGTAAGATCCCCTGAAGAAGGGAATGGCAACCCACTCCAGTATTCTTGCCTGGAGAATTCCATGGACAGAGGAGCCTGGCAGGCTACAGTCCAAGGGGTCGAAAAGAGTTGGACACGACTGAGCAACTAACACTAACTTAGGATAGTGAGACTGGACAGGAAGGTTGTGTAGGTTTTCTCCAGCTGTGTTCAGCTGCGCTGTGTGCAGGGGGAAAATGGGCCGAGATTTGGATTTAGCCAGTATTGTGCTCAGTCTCTGTTTATTTTCTTCCTTCCTGTTGCCTTCCATTTTCTCTTCCTGGTAGATATTAAATGAAGGGGGCA